GATCGTTCAAATACACGAGATGATATATTAAGACAAATCAAGAAATTTGAAGTTCCTACCATTTCAATTGAATTTTGTTTGGTGTTCCATCGGATGACATAATGACAGTGGACAGTGGAGTTCCGTGAGAAAATCTAGCCGAGTAATTTGATATTTTCGCCTCGTGACTGGAAGGTTATGGGTCACCAAAAATATTTCCATTATTGTACATAGTTCAAGTGAATGAGCTTTATCCGGTAAAAGCTAAAAATTCTGCTTCTCCATAGCGGTTCTCCGCTTGAAAACGAAAAGATAATTCAAGGAAAAGTTCCATTTTGGCCATTTCTGAGAGTGAGAGGATCCAACGTAAGAGCGAATGGTTCCATGACGGAGGCCTAAAGCTTGAAACGTCAGCTTTAAAAACTCTCTACGGTAGCCAATTTACACTTCCAATTGCAGGGTCGGCTGCCTTATCAACATAGTTTAAGGGTAGCGAGTTTCATTCGTTGTTGTGAACTCTGGAAAAAAGATATCAAGTGTTGTTTCACTTCAAGCCTGGTCAAAGCTGTATTTTTTTTTTAATTGATTGATTTCTAAATAATATTAACGTAAATCTACCTTGGTTGAGAAATCAGAGGCGGTGCTCACGTGACAGGGTAATGTCACACACAAGTCCTCCCTCGACAAGACAAAAAAAATTCATTGTCAAAGATGATAACGATTTATCTTTTTTCCGCAACAGCACGATAATGAAAGCTATGATAACTTGTGTGGCACTGACTTGAAATCCGACAAGGAATGATCAAGAGGAGACTGAACTTTACCAGAATCTCACTGACAGATTTAAGCTGTTCAGTTGAACTTGTCTTCTTATACGTAGGACCTAAGAAATATCTTTTTATTGCTTGAGTGTAAGAAAACACAACATAGAATTTAGAATTAAAGAATGTTGATGTCAATACCTTTGCAGACAGGATGTTTCAGCTCAGTTCTTTTGTAAGATGTAATGATATTAATAAGCCAAATGGTGATATGGATGTCTTTTTATGACATTCTGACCATTTTTTGAGTACAGTGCAAAGGTGTTTTTTAATTCAATATATATGGTTATTTCTTATCTTATTTAGAATGATTTGTTTTAAATTACTATAACTTATTCTTAGTTCTGTTTTACCGGAAGTAAGTTTTCTGACCATCTCTACTTTACTATCTCTAGCGGTCGCTTTTCAAAGAAATTTTTCCCTCAAGTACTGTAACTTTCATCTTAAGCGGTCACCTCTATTAAGCGGTCGTGGTCACCCATGACTGAACCCAACGGCCTGTTTGTACTGTCTTTCATCTGTATTGGACGGTCACTTAAGCGGAAATGCTTACATAAACTATCAATAAACTTACTTATGCACGAAAACCACGCAATTTATTTGCTGGTCATTCTATAATAAGCGGTCACCCCACTACTCCCTATGGGTGGCCGCTTAATAGCTAACCAAAAAATAATTAAATTAAACAATATAAATAAAAGAAAATAGTAGTTGTTGTAGCGATGTTTCGACAGGGACTCGGAAAAGGATTTGGTACTTTTGATTTAATAGTTCCTGAACCATCTCTTTTTTTTTTTTTTAATTACAAGTAGCTCCAATACTTATTTTTATCCTTTCACTCTCTGTGGAGGTACCAACTAGTATTTTCACCTTAAAATATCGATCCAAACCGTCAGAGCCTACCCTTAGTCATGAGAGATTTATGAAAGAGAGTAAACCAAATCGACATTGAAATATTTGGGGTTAAATGTGCAGAATTTCTTCGACAGACATGTGCTCTGGGCTGAATGTAGCCGAAAATTTTCCAACGCTACTTTTTCCGCTAATTATTTAGAGCCTCGACTACCTTTGACCTGATATTTAGCGTAACTTGCTTGACATTTTTATCACTGAATTTTCTTCTGAAATAGCCACCTTCGATCAGTAATCTGGTATGGGCGGCCGTCACCACTAAAATAACAGGCATCTTAAATGGTTTATAATAAGCAGAAATGGTCTAATTGTCTTTTAAGAGATTTATTTAAACTTCAAATGGAAGATTCAAACAAGAAATGGTTTGTACAATTCAGAAAATGTGTAGCCATCCCTGATGAACTGATTCAATAAAAACACGAGTGGCCCAGCGCTGAAACGGTTCAGTGTCGAAATGACAAAGTCAAGTCTTGAATGGATCAGCGTGTTGTGACATTCATTGCTTTGCCAAACGGTCCAACTAACGGTACTTTGGTTCAGTGACATAACACAAACGGTTCAGAGCAGTGTGAATTGGCAAATAGTTAATTGTGAGCTGCAATGGTTCAGTATCAATCTGCATCAATCTGCTTACCGTAAAGTGAAATGGTTTAGCGTAAGCCCAAATAGCTTAGCGTGACGACAACTAGTTTAGTACAAAGCGAAACGTGTTTTACAGCAATTGTTTTACAGCAATTGGTGTACGCCGTAACCACCAAAATGGATAAGTCAAGTTTGAAATCGAACAGTCTATGTCAGGTCTTACGTCACAACTTGCGTCATTCAGAACGAATTTGGCGCGAAATTCGCCAGAATGAGGTATTCACCGCGCCGTCCACCCAAAGTTCAACAAAGGAAGAAATTATTTCTTATTTCCATAGCCTCGTCTACTAGACTCAGTGAGCCTTATTCTGGAAAGAATCTTTTTTTTGTGTTTGCCTATTTGAGCTTGTTAGCGAGCAAATTTATATACCCTAATTATCTTGCCGCAATATCAGCGAGTTAAGGATATTTCGGATGAAACCGTTTTTATCGAGGTGCTGAACGTTCAGTAGCTTAATAATCAGCTAATGAAAATGAAAGCAAGTTTAAGCTTATATTTCACCATAATATATTCTCCTATTATTTCTTACCACATATTTTTTTAATCTCCAATTCTTTCAGTTTTTAGCCGCCCGATGATTGTAGTTTCGTCGTCTTAAAACAATGAATCGCTTTATCACGTTTCTTAGCTAGGGTTATGACTGTCTAGACTGTCAATGTGCTGTCGCGTAAAGTGATGCTTTTTACCTGTATTTTCATCATTCCTTTTGTTTCAGATTCTTATTTTATCATGAGACCGTCAAGTTTCCTATAGTTGTGGCTTAACTATGGTAAGAATTCTCCATTTAAAGTACAGCAGTTTTCACATTGAGAAACTGAAAAGATTAAAATAACAATTTGAAACTGGCTAATAGCAATCACGCTTAAGTGGCTTACGATTAACCATTTGCCGATAACTTAAGCCATTTCACACTACTCTGAACCGTTTGTGTCATGTCACTGAACCAAAGTACAGTTAGTTGGACGGTTTGGCAAAGCAATGAATGTCACAGTACGCTGATCTATTCAAGACTTGACTTTGTCATTTGACACTGAACCATTTCAGTTAACTCTGGGCCACGTGCGTTTTTATTGAATCAGTTCAACAAGGGTGGCTACACAGTTTCTGAATTGTATAAACCATTTTTTGTTTGAACGTTACATTTCACCAAAGGCAACTTGTCCATTTGTATTTTAAATCAATCTCTTAAAAGATAATTAGACCATTTCTGTTTATTATAAATCATTTATAATGCCTGTAATTTTGGCGGTGACGGCTGCCCATATCTATGTTTGTGTCTCTTTTAATTAAAAAAGAGAAAAAATTAAAATAAATTTATTGAGCGTCATACCCCGCTATTTTTCCGTGACACTCTACGGTAAAATAGCCCTTTTTACACTGCATTATTCAATACTGTTTAAACTAACTATAATAAAAATCACTGATCAAATGCTAAGCAACCTATCACGAAACAATATGAAACATTTCTGGTTTTCAGTGTGATATAAACTTTGAAAACCCCGCACACTCAAATACAGGTGTATTTGAGTAAATCGATATCGATTTACTTCCGCTGTAGCAAATTGGGTCAATTTTTACATAAAATATTGGGCGATGTTTCTAAATTTCTAATATGGACACTGCGTTAATTGCTTCATTGACATTTATGTTAGCTGAAAAGGAAATACTATATTTAGAACAGGTGTCTCTAGATCTCTCAAAGCTCTTAATATCTGTTGTCTGTTTACCTCTAAATTTACTTATTCACATCGTTTGTGTTGCATCCTCTTGATTCATTCTACACCGTTAATTTTCTCATTGCTTTTTCCGATCTTTACTCAGAAGTTAACGATTGACTATAACATGTACAGTTAGTTCGTATCCCCAGCCTTAATACTCTCTAAAACAACTGAATTATTACATGCAGTGGAGAGTCTTTCGGCATATCAGGGCGTAAGCATCCCGAAAGTCACGAATCCTTGCACTGTAGATGATGAAGTTCATGGCTGAATTTGAAAGTGCTAAGGATCGGATCCACATGTAAGCAGTCCCATACATCTTAACAAGGGATTTACCTGCAGCAAAGAACACGACAATCATCGGCAGCCAACATGCGGTGAAGATAGCTATTACCATTGCTAGTGTAAACGCCACACGGCGCTCGATTTTGGAATTAACAACAACTGTGGGTGGTGCTCTGATTTCATTTTTTCTTCGCTTTTCTTTGACAAGAAAAGTCACGATGGACGCGTAGCAGATAATTATTAAGCCATAGCTTACAACAAACACCACGAGAACCAGATAAGATGTCTCCTTGAGGAAGGGAATGCGGCATGAAGCGAAAATGATAGATACGCCCCAGACAACTCCTAACATAATCTTCAAACCGTAACTGTTCATGATCCGTCTGTGGCGGAGAGGGTAGACAACGGCAAGGAAACGGTCCACACTGATGGCTGCCAGGTGCATGACTGATGCAGAGCACGAGAGGTTTGAGCTGATAACGTAAGCAAGCTCCAGGCTGGATGCACAATCATGGAGAAACGCTCTCTTAGCGACTATAGCAGCTACCAAAGGCTCGCAGATCATCGTCACTACCAAATCAGCAATGGCCAGACTGAGAAGAAGGAAGTTGGAGCTGCGACGAAGACGAGTGCTCGTGAGTACCGCAATACAAACCATAATGTTTCCACAGGTTCCGACCACGGCTGCTATAGAATTAACTATCATAAGAAGCACGCCATGCGTCTGTGGAAGGACGCAATCGTCTGTGGAGTTAATTGAAGTATTCGCGCTGTATTCCAATGAAGTATTCTGTATATTCATTATTGATTGATTCTGGAAACAAAGCAAAGCTGATGTACAAACCTCTGTCGTTTACTTCCTCAAGAGCCAAACAATTATGGCGTTAACTACTAATTCTGTCGAGATATCTAAATATGTTCTTCGCGCGTCAAGGGAATACAGATATTGGAGTTTCAGTTGTTTCACTTTTGCATTTGATAAACGATCTTTCCAGTACCTGGACCGTGACGTTAACACTGATCTATGGTCCAAATAAGGCAGGATTATATTGTTTTGATATTGAAAATCACGGGTGACTTTTGCAGCGAGAAGTAGGCGGGTACAGGGATGGGCAGGAGGGGGACTGGGATGGGCTAGCACTCTTGATGGTGTCTTACGATAATGCTGGATCAATCGAGTCTTCGAATACAAGAGATGACACATTAAGACTAATCAAGAAATTTGAAGTTCCTACTATTTCAATTGACTTTTTGTTTGGTGTTGCATCAGATGACAGTGGATTTCCATGAGAAAAGAGAGAATCATGCTGAGTAATTTGATATTTTCGCCTCATGACTGGAAGGCTATGGGTCACCAAAAACGTCATGTTACTATTATAGGCCTCTTAGACCACATAAATATTTTTTTAGTATTATATAGTTCAAGTAAATGAGCTTTTTTGGTAAAAGCTAAAAACCCTGTTTCTCCTTAGCAGCCCTCCGCCTGAAAATGAAAAGACATTTCAAGGAAAGTTCAATCCAATTTGGCCATTTCTGAGAGTGAGCGGATCCATCGTAAGAGCAAATGGTACGATGACGAAGGCCCAAAGCTCAAAACGTCAGTTTTAGCAACTCTCACACGCAGTCCCAACTTTTTTTTTCAAGGTCTTTTAAAAGTGTTCCCCACCAGAATGCAACTGAGGAGTTAAACTTATCTTAGGATTATGAATGGTCTATAAAAGTCGGGTATAGCCGACCACGTGCTGAAATAGAGACTCGAAACTCTTGTTGTTCGTCTAAGAGAAAGTGCCGGCGGCTGAATTCTCGAGACATGTAAGCATACAACGCGAAGCTGTTGTTTCAGTTTCAGCCATTTTCTATAACTTGATTTCCAAAATTAAACTGATATTTTAAAATCAGCAAGTGAAGTTTTGCTTGTACAACTCTCCGCTGTTCGTCCCCTACACAACGAGATGGCCTTTGCCCCATTTTCACCTTAAATATGAGCAAAATGTGTGCAAAATGGTTGATTCCCTCCAACGCTCACGAAAAAATGGCCGCGACTGATGTCTTCTCTTTCTTACACCGAACGAATAAAAAAAAAAGGATGAGAATGTAAGGTTAATGTCAGAAAGTATTGAAAAAGATTTTACTCTATACACACTGAGATTTACCTTGTGAAATCCTACTGTTCGTGTCTCTGATTGGACGAACGATGTATTTTCACAGTCGTTCGCTTCGTACTTAAAAGTGTAAATCTCTGTGTGTATAAAATAAAAACATAATACCATGGAAAGTGCACACGAATGATTTTTAGTCACTCGTTGCGGTGTATCAAAAAACTCACCCGTTCGCTGCGCTCAGTCGTTCTTTTTTTTCGATTCAACGCTGATTCGTGAATAAAAATCGTTCGTGCGTACTTTCCAAGGATAGACAGATGTGACAGACTTCCCGTGCAACCTCATTAATAAACACATTTGAATGTTTAAAGAATTGGAATAATCAGGTAAGAGAAACGCGAGCACTATATGAGTGGTTGGCCTGCAGTACTAGGCCTGTATTTGAAAATGGGGAATTAACTGATTGAAGCAACTCAAGTGCTGCGAAGTCAGACACCTTTCAAATGCCCGATTCAAACATTTTCTAGCCGAGGCTAAGGCATCAATACACTGTGATGTAAAGTTTTGTCACTGTATAATATATGGAAGGCTTTTCCAGCAACTGAACTACTTATGACTACTGGATACTTGTTACAAGTAATAGGCTTTTTGTGGCAACCTGGGAGAATAGGCCTTTATCAAGGAAAAATTGAAAATTGAGTAAGCTGCTGAACAGGCGTATTTAATATTTCATTTTATTTTATCTTTACCCTCTGTACACCTTTCCTTTGCATTTGCAAAGACCAGTTTGAAGCAAAATTAAGGTTCTTCTACACGCAACCGGATTGCTTTGACATGTTTCAATGCTTCGAATGGAAAAATGCCGAATGGATAAAGTCATTCGCGGTTTTTTATGTGTTCGAATGCGAGTTACGGTTGACTCATTGCGTTCTTTACATTAATCATTCTCGAGATTTCCAACTGTGAATAGAAAGTAGGATTGATTCGTGAATAAAAATCGTTCGTGCGCACTTTCCATGTTGATAGCTCACGACACTTGTGACAGACTTCCCGTGCAACCTCATTAATAAACAAATTTGAATGTTAAAAGGAATAATCATGCTTCGAATGGAAAAATGCCGAATGGATAAAGTCATTCGAAGTTTTTTATGTGTTCGAATGCAAGTTACGGTTGACTCATTGTGTTCTTTACATTAATCAGTTTCGAGGTTTCCAACTATGAATCGAAAGTAGGAAAATATTTGGATATAATTCATAAGCTTAACATAAGCGTATGATTTTTAATATTATTAGAATAAATTGATCATTGCAACTGATCCCTTTACCACAGGACATAATATCAGAAGCTCTACCATACAATAGAACCGGTGTTTGCATTTTCAACTAAGCAACCGAACATCTTGCGGGATATCGAGATATAGGCATCGCGGAAGTCTCGAATTCTTGCGCTGTAAATAACAAAGTTCATAGCAGAGTTAGAGAGAGCCAAAGATCTAATTCACATGTATGCTGGACCATAATTTTCAACCAGAGATTTTCCTGTGATGAAAAAAAACATCAACCAACGGAAACCAGCTGACAGAAAACAAACTGATGATCACAATTGCCAGTGTTAGTGCAACACGCCGTTCGACTTTCAAATTGACATTAATGGATGATTGCGCTCTTAGACGGCCCTTTCGTTTCCTTTCCCTGACCAAAGTAAGCAATATTGACAAGTAACACACGAACATGAGGGAATAACCAATGGAAAACATTACTGCAGCTAAGTAATAAGTTTTTTTCGGTAAGAGCTGTCGAACTGTGGCGAATGCAAAAGCGACAACCCACATTGTAGCCAGCATGATTTTCAAGCCATAGTTCTTCATGATCCGACCGTGACGGAGAGGGAAGGTGACAGCTAAGAGGCGGTCTGTACTGATAGCCACAAGATGCATAAACGACGAGGAACAGCAAAGTTGGCTAAAAGCGAGTAGACGAGTTCAAGACTAGGCGCACACTCGTGTAGAATAATAACTTTCTTTATATAGTACTCGTATCCTCTGCTAAGACGCTTTACAATCATACAAAATCATACATTATTAATAAAAATTTACAAATTTACAACCATATCCTACTATATGATACTTAAACATAGCTAAAATTCATGCTGGTTAAAAAAGAAAAAGAAAACTAACGCCAGCCATATCTTATGATAGGATACTTAAACATAGCTAAAATTTACAATGATTAAAAAAGAAAATTAAATCTAAAGCAATATATATAAATCTATAAAAATAATGGTCTGTTATTAATATATTTACTACACAGGAACGTCTTAAGTGCTCTTTTAAAAATTGAGATTGTGTTAGTTTCTGAGCTAAATAGCTAGGCGATGCCCCATTCAGTGATTTATACACTAGAAGCAGAATCTTGAAAATAATACGGTATTGGATCGGTAGCCAGCGAAGCTTCTGCAAAACAGGTGTGATATGCTGAAACTTACTCATTTGACACACAACCCTAGCCGCCATGTTTTGTACATATTGCAATCTTTGTAACTGATACTTAGGCAAGCCATATAATAATGCATTACAAGCATTTGTAAGATGGCTGAAACTAATTTGTTTCGAAACTATGACGGTCCTATTGTATATTAATACATAAAAACTCGAAGACACAGAGAGAAGCTGTAAGTATCGCAAAAAAATATTTCAAAGATTCCAAAGATTCCAACGTAGTGAATTTTCACTCGTTTTATGACTTTGTCTACGGCTGTAACAACGACAGGATAAAGTTTACGGTCGTTGGTTTTTGTTCTTATCTTCTTCTGAATAAACCCCCCCCCTTGAAAAGACCTCGTCGGAGTATCGTTTTGGGACTCTCCTTTCCCTTGCAGCCGCCATGGTTACAAATTTAAATTGTTCCTAATGTGATTGATACTCTAATGCGCAAGCGCAGTAGGAAAAAACGTAGTCCGCGCCAGCCTGGACGCCACTTGGAGCAAATGTTCGTGCTAATTATGGGAAGTAAGTTTGATATGGTAAAAATTCTCCATTTTAAGTACAGCAGTTTTTACATTAAGAAACTGAAAAGAATAAAAGAATAATTTGAAACTGGCTAATAGCAATCAACAGAAAATCAAGTGCCAATGCAAACGCGGAGTTAACGCTTACGTGCAGGTTTTATTAAATGGCCCACAATTTTCACGATGAAATACTTTGCGGTCCTTAACATCTAAGCGAGAACAATGAAGCAGTTCTCAATGATAGCAATCTTTTGTTTTTGTCATCAGACCTCATGGTGGAAGTTAACATTGCTATTAGCCACACGCCGGGGATTTCTGGCGGATTTTTCGGCCACATTATTTTCCAGTTTTTTCCCCGCCGCCATGTTGGCCGTGCGGAGGTCTGGCGCAAAGCCGGGAAATGATTAACTTTGCAGGCTCTCTATGAACTGTGGTTAAATGAAAGCGCGGTAAATTTGGAACCAACATCTAGATCCTCGCAAGAGCTTTTATTCAATACCAAACAAGGCGAAATAGGAGAAATATATTTGGTTTTCCCGTGGTTGAAAAGAGGAGACTGTCATGGCGTCGTGAAGCAAAGCATATTTTTGAGGCATCTTAAAAAGATTTAAGCTTCAAAATGACAAGACGGCTAGAAGCTAGAGACAAAACTATGGAATCATGCGTTCATTGGTAAGGACTTCTCCGATTCAGAATTTTTTATTTTTGTCTCGTTTCCTTGATATCTGAACTTTTTAACGACTACCATGACTAGACTTTCGAGCATTTCGAGGTTTACTGAGCGAGCTACTCTCCCTTTGTCAACAGAATGTGGATTAAGACAGGTTGTAACAGAGTGCAGCGACATGCCACCAAGAAAAGGACAGAAAAATCGCTTCCCTTTGAATGAATATCTAGAGATTAAACGGAACCAAGATGCTCTTCTTGTGTCTGCCCTTGCCCGTGATAAAGAGTTTACGAAAAAGGCAAGGAAATTAAAGCGCCTCGAGTCAAAGGTAAACAACATCGAATATCAAATACTTGAATCTCCTGAACTTGCACGCATACATCTTCAATTGTTGTTAAGAGAAATAAAATATAAATCAGAAGGCAGTTAAATTGCCTTTTACCTCTAAATACGTCGAAATGAGCAAATATTTTGGAAATTTCCACGAAATGACTCGTTTTCCTTTGATTTCAGTTAAACTCGGCTAATACTGTTGTGTTTTAGGCAAAATTGGTGAATGAGGATAACAAAAATGTGAAAGAAAAGGTCAGTACCTTCAATTCATGTGTACTCTTTTGAATATTATATTCTTGGAGAAAGCTTTCTCATTCCATGCGAACAGTTTATCAATAGAGTAATTTATGATTTACTCTGGCTGTGAAGTTATGCATTGAAATAAAACTGAAGATTTGCATGGTCAAAATTTTTTGTCTTCCTCAGATCTCTGTTACAGACAACATTGTAGACAGAAGGACCCGCTCTCCAACAATTTTGGGAGATGAAGAGAAGATCTCTGGCCCTGGCCGTAACGCTAGACGAAGGAGGCTACAGACATTAAATGCTGCAAAAATGTTGCATGTAGCCACTGCTGAGAATATGACACCAGCTTATGCAGGTCTCATAGCAGTTTTGAA